CATGGGCACTCAATTAAATAGCTGAGCAGCCGGATTAGAATGGACAAAAGGAATTCTTCACCCAAAGAGTGATTAACACATGGAATTCACTGCCACAGGAGGAGGTGGCGGCTACAAGCATGGACGGCTTCAAAAGGGAATTAGATAAGCATATGGAGCAGAGGTCCATCGGTGGCTATGAGCCACAAGGTATAGATAGGGACTCTCGGTCTGGGGCAAGTGATGCTCTATATTCTTGGTGCTTGTGGGGGGGCAAGAGTGGGAGGGCTTCTAGTGCCCTGACCCCACTGCTGGACCTCCTGATGGCACCTGGTATTTTTGGCCACTGTGTGACAGAACGTTGGATTGGATGGGCCATTGGCCTGATCCAGCATTGGCTTCCCTTATGTTCTTATGGAGATGGCATTCACAACCCCCCCCCAAAAAAAAAGACTTTGATGCTCAGTCTGTGGTCCCCAAAGACACTTTGGAAATCTGTTTTTCCTTTCATCGTGAGGAAGAAGATGAAAGCGCTGTTTAATCCACCCCCCTGAGAAGATATGGGGGGAGGCATTCAGTCTGGACAAGCGCCAACAGCTGTTGTGTGCTCTGCAGCTTTGGCAAAACTGATTTTCCTGGAAGCAGAGTTGTCAGCTTGGGAGTAACTCCTCCATTGTGTTATGGGCAGAGTCACCAACTTCTCGGCCGATCCCCGTAGCTGAGCCACGAACAGCCATATATGCTCTGCACCCTTGACCCGGAGGGAAAACTCCCATCCCTTGAACAGAGGCTTCCGAAATGGGCAGCTGAAGCTTTTCATGACATGGAGGTCAATCACATCGCCTGGTCCATGGCCTCCCATCGAGCCTCTGTTAAAGCGACAGGGCATTTCTTCCTCAGGGCCAGCCAGCAAGTCTACCAGTAAAAAGCCTCACCTGCTAATTCCAACGTGGCATAGTGGTTAAGAGTGTTGGACTATGATCTGGAAACCCAGGTTCGAATCCCTGCTCTGCCATGGAAGCTTGCTGGGTGACCTTGGGCCAGTCACACTCTCTCTGCCTGACCTACCTCACAGGGCTGTTGTGAGAATAAAATGGAGGGGAGGAGAACAGTGTAGGCTGCTTTGGGTCCCCGTTGGGGGGGAAAGGCAGGGAATAAATGAATTAAATGAGTATAAATAAATAAACAATTCCAGCATTTCAAAAGCAGACCAACTGGTTGGTTTCTCCTGGCCAGTTGGCAACCCCTAATAAGCCGGATCGATCACCAGAGATCAAGTGAGCATTTGTAAGGTGCAAGCTGGTGATACGGCATATCCATCCATGGATTGCCAACATAGCAAGTAGTTTGGCCCATTCACAGGACTTTCAGGTCACAGATGTTGTTCCAGAATGGGTGACCGGTTGGTGGACTCTCCAAATGTTAGGTAGGTAGGTAGGTAGGTAGGTAGGAAGGAAGGAAGGAAGGAAGGAAGGAAGGAAGGAAGGAAGGAGGGAGGGAGGTAAGCTGCTTTGGGTCACAGTTCAGGACAAAAGTGGGTGGGAAGAAAGGAAGGAAGGAAGGAAGGAAGGAAGGAAGGAAGGAAGGAAGGAAGGAAGGAACCTTGCTCCGAGTATTTGCAGCCTCTTGAAGAAGTACAGGCAAAGCTAGTTACAGTGGTTAATCTGGAGACAGCTGCTGGCCAGGAATCACACTTGTCTCTCAAAGAACTATCAAGCAGGTTCTGAAGTACACTATGGGGTTCACACCAGCCCCCAGTTCCCCAGCCCTTCATAAGGACATAAAAGAAGCCAAATGTTGGATAAGGCCAATGGCCCATCCAGTCCAACACTCTGAGTCACACAGTGGCCAAAAATACCAAGTGCCATCAGGAGGTCCAGCAGTGGGGCCAGGACACTGGAAGCCCTCCCACTCTTGCCCCCCCTACTACCAAGAATACAGTGCATCCCTTGCCCCAGACTGAGAGTTCCTATCTATCCCATGTGGCTAATAGCCACTGATGGACCTCTGCCCCATATGCTTATTTAGTTCCCTCTTGAAGCTGTCTATGCTTGTAGATGCCGCCACTTCCTGCGGCAGTGAATTCCATGTCTTAATCACTCTTTGGGTGAAGAAGGACTTCCTTTTATCCGTTCTAACCCGACTGCTCAGCAATTTCATGGAGTGCCCACGAGTTCTTGTCTTGTGAGTAAGGGAGAAAAGTACTTCTTTCTCCACCTGCTCTATTCCATGCATAATCTAGTAAACCTTGATCAGCCCTTCTTGCAACTGACTGCATGCATTCCACCTGGTGCTTGGAAGGGGCTTGGAAAGACTCACCCATCAACTAATCTGCTATGAAAAATGACACCTCATGCAACCTTGTGGAGTTCATCATCTTTTTGATGCCCTAGAACTTGACACTTTTGCCATGATTGGTTGGTGCCAGTTCTCTTCCCTCTGCTTGGAGGAGGAATTGGTGGAGGATCCCGCGGGAGAGGCCGGCTTTGCTGTCCAACAGCCTGAGGCAACCAGGATAAACAAAACCCCCCCCCCACCTTTGTTGGTCTTAAAGGTGCCCCTGGACTCAAACTTTGTTCATGCGATGTGTATGTGTGTATGGGGTGTTCCCTAAAACACAGAGAAACAGGAAATGGGTTAGGAACGAGCGAGAGGGCTGTAATTGTTATACTTCCACATGCTCTCCTGTTCCCTTAGCAGGGAGCAGAGGGCAAGTTCGGTTTCCTGTTGGCACAGCCCTTCCAGACAAGATTACAGTCAAAAGTTAAAAATAAGATGCATTGGGGAGGAAAGGAAAAGAGGAAAACAATAAGGCAAACCCAGCACGAATACTTATAGACACTGATAGGGGATCAGTACTGTTTTCCTTTGTGTGTCTGTGGCCCCGGTCACACGGGCTAGAAAATGCAGGGGGGAAGCGTGGCTGTTTGCCCCGGAGCAAACTAACGTGCGGCTGCCAGATCACACAACCCGCCAACGTCCCGTGGTTTGGGGGGAGGTGCCGATCACACAACAATCCTACGGCGTGGCAAAGAAGCGGCGTGGCACGATCACAGCAGCAATGGCTAGGTGCTGCTGCCATGGCAAACGGGGTTGTTTTTGAAAAAAACGAAGTATGCGTATGCGCGGTTGGGTGCTTGTGCGCATCCCGTGGAGACTTGGGGGAAAAAAACTTTTTGCAACGGGATATGGGCGGGCGCCGGATGCCATGAACTACCACCGGAAATGCGATCAGCGGCCCGCCCTTGTCCCGCGGTTTCTGGAAACTAGTACCTCGGAGGTACTAGTTTTTTGCGCCGCATCTTCGGCGGGAAGCCTCAGGTGAGCCACGGGAGCTCTACGCTTCCCAGATGTTGCGGTGTGATCACACCTGGAAAATCCACCTATCTTCCGTCTCTGTAGCGTGGCTAATGCTCCGTGTGACCGCAGCCTGTGTGTGTTTGTGTTTGCATGTGTGTTTGCTGAATTTAAATCCCAACAGTGTCTGTTCCTGCCCAATTACATTACGTTTTCCAGCTCATGTCTGCATAGAAGGGACTTCTAACAAGACCTTAATATATCTGGTTGAGGTTTGCCAGCTTCTGGATGGGAAATCCCTTCCTGCAGTGATCAGTTCCCAACAACTTCATTGCAAAGAAGTGAAGTTTATTGAGACACTGAAGTATGCAGATTATCTTTACACATCTGGTGTCAGAACTGGCAATAAACACGCGAAGCAAGCAGATATACACAATTCAAGGGGGGCCCCTGATGGCCAGGAGCCAATCAAAGAATAGGGTTTAAATATATATATATATATATTTATTCATTTTTAAATCATCATTAACAACAATGAACATCAAAAGCATTAAACAAGCAACCACAAGAGATAAGGGTCAAGTTGCATCAAAAGCCTGTTATGTAACAGTCAAAACTATTTAAACATTTTTGAACGTTTATCAACCAATAAGAAAGGGTAAGAAGTGCTGGTAATTATGCTACCTCTGTCAGTAAGGCAAGGGTGAGTACTGGATTAGGTCTGGATCTTAGATGTAGAAGATTTTTATATGTATCTCAGTGTGTACAGCAGAGAGCTAGAGGAAAAGCCGAGAAGAGCAAGTAGTGTTAGTGGGAAGAAGTTCAGCTTCTGTCATGTACTGCAGCCATGGAAACCATGTGCCTACAAACCTAGAGTAGGTCATGGTGGTGCCCATTATGTTGGTCACACACAATGGATTTTGCGCAGTGTAAAAAATATCCGTTTCACAGGATTGCTTTATCTGAGTGTGTAGCTATTAGGATTCTTTTCAATTTCCATCCCATGTTGACGCTCTGATATCGGAACCCAAGATTGTGAAGAGAGTTTTCTACAGAATTATTATAGTAAACAATTTTGTATATCATCTTTATTGCCTGTTTGTTATTTTCGTCATGGATGTTTTGTTTGGATTTCCACCTCCTCCCGTGATCTCTCCCTTTTGGCTCCCACCTGGAGGTTGGCAACCCTACAGGCAACCCTAAGAGAGTTGAGCTGTGCATAATGCAGGGATTGCAATGGTTATGTTTATAACTGGAGAACTGGGTTTGATTCCCTGCTCTGCCTTCACATGCAGCCGGCTAGGTGACCTTGGGTCAGTCACAAGTTCTCTCAGAGCTCTTCTCTCAGGAGCAGTCCTTGAAAGAGCTCTCTCAGCCCGACCGACCTCACAAGGTGTCTGTGGTGAGGAGGGGAAGGGAAAGGAGACTGTAAGCCACTCTGAGACTCCAAGTGAAGGGCAGGGTATAAATCCAACGCTGCTGCTTCTTTCTTCTAAAGAGGAGTCGTCGCGTGCACTGGCAATGCAGATGGGTTATGAAACTCCACCTACAGGCTTCTGGCCTGGAAGCAGGACAGTGAAATATTAGCCCAGAGAGGGGTTGAAACCAGCTGGGCAAATCAGAAGAGCGTGATCCCAGGGAAAGCCTTTGGTTGGACAACCAGACCGAGAGAGCTGAGTAAAACCCATGATAAGGCCCAACCTCGGGAAGCCCCTGGGAAGCATTCTGCAGACATCTGCCATGGAGTCAGCCTTCAGCGACAAACAGTACTACGCTCAGCATTTTGACCCGAAAGGCTATTTGGAAACGTATTATGCCTTCAGCTCCGACAAAGAGGCAGAAAAGGCCTTAACAGTTTTTACTCTGAAAAATCTGCACAAAGCCTTCGTTCTGGGTAAGCAGAGATATTTATTTATTTATTTATTTATTTATTTATTTATTTATTTATTTATTGTCAAATTTATACCCCGCCCTCCCAGCCAGCAGGCTCAGGGTGGCTTCTAACAACAAATACAACAATACAAAATAAAAGTATGAATAATACAGAATTAAAACATTTAAAATAGTACATTACAAAATTACTAAGTACTGGCGGCGGTTAAAAATCAAACGAATGAGATGCTTTCAAATGAAAGTGCTTTGATGTTATTCCACGTAAAGCGTTTAGATGTTATTCTGCTCGTTCTTAAGGCAGCTGCTCGATGTCAACATTACAGGCCGTGCTGCCAGCTGCCGGGTGTGTTCTGCAGCTCTTGCCAAATGGTGTTCCTTGGGACTACCCCTGCCAGTTGGTAGATAGTCTGCCTCCCTTGCCAGTAGCTCGGCTGCCCTGCTCGCTGGAGGGCAGGCAGTGGACCCAATGAGCCAGGCAGCGGACTCTGCGGCAGAAGCACCAGGGCAAAGAGGCTGGCTGCCCTCACTGGCGTTCACAGGCTGCAGTCACCACCAAATGCTCCCCACATCAAATAGCCTGGGGTCATGCAGGAGTGCTTGGTGGCAGCAGCGATTTGCAGGTCAGCTCCGTTTGTTCTTGCTTCCTTGAGTGAAAGGAGCTCCGTTGCTTCCTTGAGTGAAGGGAGCTACCCCGCAGGATGCAACTGCAGCCACACTCCCGTGAGTCTCCCAGTTCTCCTAACACTGGCGACGAGGAAGAGAAGAAGAAGAGATTGGATTTATACCCCGCCCTTCACTACCCAAAGGTGTCTCAGAGCAGCTTACAAACTCCTTTCCCTTCCCCTTCCCACAACAGACACCCTGTGAGGTAGGTGGAGCTGAGAGAGCTCTTGACAGAAATTGCTCTTTTTCAAGGACAGCTCTTATCAGAAATATGACTTGCCCAAGGTCATCCAGCCAGGTGTAAGTGGAGGAGTGGGGAATCAAACCCGTTTCTCCCAGATTAGAGTCTGCACACTTAACCACTACACCAAACTGGCTCAGAGTCCTGAGCAGGGACTGCAGCTTGAGGACAACTGTGGCGGGGGTCCTTCACTCTTTATGTGCCAGCCAGTAAAGAAGAAACAGACCCAGCCACAGCTGTCCATAGGCTGTAGCTGCCACCACACAGTCCCCAGGTCAGGAGTCCTGGGAGTCCTGTGGGAGCATTTGGCAGTGGCCCTGTTTAGCAGCAGATACTCTCAGAGTCCTTGGTGGCTGTGGGTGTTAACCAGTTTGTTTTTGGCACCCCCAGGAAGCAAGGGAAAGGGACAGCATTGCCGAGCAGAGATTCAGGATATTCCTTCACATCAGGCATAGAACCAATGTGCCAAATAGTATCAGTGTATCTACCACATTTTTATCAAGCCCTGCCTCAAAGGAGCTCACGGTAGCCTACAGTGGGTAATTTTTATGCTAGGGAGAGACAGCTGTTAATTTTCCCATTGTTGTCCAAATTTAAACCTTGGATGTCCAGTTGAAATGCGCGGGATTGAGGATTTTAATTTTTTTGTTGGAAGACCGGAAAGAGAGGATATCTTTAGCTGTGGCAAAATTTTGCTTCCTGGCCCTTAAAAAGAGGAAGCTTGTACCTTAGATAGCGAGTTGATGACAAATTAGCGTTGTTTTTGTTTTGTTTTAATGAGACATTGTAGTCGTTTTAAAGTTCTTTTATATATCCATTTGAATTTTATGTATTTATGGTGCATCTTATATTATTATTCCTCTTGGTAATGTTCTATATTGGCTGGTCGCTTGACCATACTAATAAACTTGACTTGACTTGGCCTACAGTGGGGGTGTCAAATATGAAGGCCCAGGGGCCAGAACCAGTCCGTTCAGAGCTCTTATGCGGCCCACGAGCAACTGGTGCAAGGGAGGGAACAGAAGACTGATTGGGAAGGGGAGTGGGTGGAGCCACTCCATTTGTGGCTTCAGCATGGTGGAACAACCTCATCTGCAGCAGTCAAGCAGTGTGGGAGCATCTGCCCAGTGCTCCACCACTGGCTTTCCAGTCCACCCATATGGGTTTCCCTTTGCAGCCCCCTCCCAGCCTATGGGGCCTTGCGGTGAGGATACCACAACTTGGAGCTTACCAGCTGCTGTCCTTTATACAGTTTCTATATCCAGTACCTGGCATTACGTTTCAGGGCCCACATGGCCCAGCCCGACAAAGTGACATTTAAGTCAGATTTGGCCCTTGTAATGAATGAGCTCTGGAAAAAGTGCAGAAAAGGGCAACTCGAATGATAAAAGGGTTGGAACACTTTCCCTATGAGGAAAGGTTAAAGCGGCTCTTTAGCTTGGAGAAACGACGACTGAGGGGTGACATGATTGAGGTTTATAAGATTATGCATGGGAAAGAATAGGTAGAGAAAGAGGTACTTTTCTCCCTTTCTCACAATACAAGAACTCGTGGGCACTCAATGGAATTGCTGAGCGGTCGGGTTAGAACGGATAAAAGGAAGTCCTTCTTCACCCAAAGAGTGATTAACACATGGAATTCAGGGCCAAAGGAAGTGGCGGCGGCTACAAGCATGGACGGATTCAAAAGGGAATTAGATAAGCATATGGAGCAGAGGTCCATCAGTGGCTATTAGCCACAAGGTATAGATAGGGGCTCTGGGGTAAGTGATGCTCTGTCTTCTTGGTGCTTTGGGGGGGGTCAACAGTGGGAGGGCTTCTAATGTCCTGGCCCCACTGGTGGACCTCCTGATGGCACTGGTATTTCTGGCCACTGTGTGATACAGAGTGTTGGACTGGATGGGCCTTTGGCCTGATCCAACACTGGCGTCCACTTATGTTCTTATGAGTTCGACACCTCAGGCCTACAGGATTCTTCCTTCACTATTTTATCCTCATCTGTCCGAGGTTGGAAAGGTGACTGTCCAAGGGCACCCAACAAACTACACACTGGAGAAGAGCTCCCCCCAGTCCTACTTCAAGACTTAAATGCCATACATTGAGGAAGCGGGGCTGTGGCGCAGCAACGCGGTCAGCACCAGGAATCACTCCTGAGTACCACCGGCTCTTCGTTGTTTTAGAGGAGTTCTTGGGGGATCCCAAACTCCACCAGACCTCCTGAAGGGAGATATGGTGCAAGGGACTTGATTCGGGGCCCCCGCTTGGGGCAACAAGCAGGTTGATGCCCTGGATCGTCCCAGAAGCAAGCAACGAAGCAGAGCTGGGATGGCAGCCATAACTGCACCATCTGTGAACGCCCCAGAATTAAGAGACTTATATTGAGCCTCATCAGTAACATCGATGAAGAAATCCACTTTAAGTACCTATAAAAGCAACATCGAAGAAACTGACAACCTGACAACCTCTTGGTAAAGCGCCTTTAAAGTTTTTAAAAAACTCGGAAAGGAAGGGTGAAACGCCCCCCCCCCTTTCTTCACGGATTATAAAGTTGTTATTGGAAAAAGAAAGAAATAGAGATTTCTACAGTTAAATTCCTTACTTTTGTGGCTATTTTTAGTGACGTCATGCTTTATTGCTGAGTACGGAGGAGTCTAGAGCTGCAAAGAACATTAATTGTGTGAAAGGAGTCTTGTTTGTTAACACATCTGTGAGAGGCACTATCTGGTAAACATAGGCCCTGTCCACACGAGGGGCTTTGGGCTGGGAGTGGGCCGGATCGGGGCCGGAGCAAATGGGCGCGATCCCACTGCAACATCTGGGCAGCGTTGCGCACCCGTCCCCGATCTGGCCCTTCCCCCGAAGAGACGCATCAAAAATGAACCACCTACCGAGGTGGTTCATTCACGACGGCCGCATTAAGGCTGGTCGTGGGATCGCCGGCCCGTCTTTCTGCCGGCGCATCCCCGGCTCCTGCCTGAACTGCGCATGCTCAGACATGCACAGTTCGGCAGTCTCCCGTTCCCCTCCGTCGCTTCCCCCGGCATCTGATCGTGCCAGGGAGGGAATGCACCGCGGCTCAGGGGATCAATGTGATCCCGCCGCGGCATGTTTCTTTTGGTGTGGCTTTCAAAAGCTGCACTTCAGCCCGTCCCTTTCCCCCCCGTGTGGCAGGGGCCACAGTCTGCCTGAAAGACTCTATGGGCAAATAATCTGCAGAGTTTTTGAGTGTTGTTGGGCTGAACTGGGATTTTTGCTATTGCATTAAAATGGGTGACCAGGACATACAGAAAAAAATACCCAATGAGACATGGATAGACAGTTCTATGGAAAGCAGCCTGCTGCAGTTGTCAGACTTTAATTCTTGATGCAGTTAACCAGGGTGTCAACGAGGTGGTTAAGCCAATATTTCTCAAATAAGGTGTTACACCAAACCAGATTACAAGCAACAAAAAGGAATCCCAGCACCAAACAGCGCAAGAATCTGAACAACACAGCATTCAAGTGGATCTAACATACAGAGAAAAGGAACTTAAATACCAAAATGGGCAAAATATAGAACAACACTGCAATCAAGCTGATTTAACTTACAGAGAGGAGCCCCTGCAACAAACTGAACAAAATGCAGAACAGCACTACATTCAACTTGATTTAACCTACACTGAGAATAACAGATCTACAAAAAGTCTGCAAAACTCTGGAATCCTCAAAGTGATAAAGGGAAAAATATTCCAGAGAGAAGATGGAACAGAGTCTATGGAATCCTTAACTACCCTAAACTCTGACTATAGATGGCAAGCACTCAAAAAAAATCATCTTTACTTATAAGGGGAAAAGGCACAGAACCAAGACTTTATTGAAAACAAGAAATTACAAAAAGAAGAAAAGACTTAAGGTCTATAAATGAGATGGATCTAGGGAACCATTGTTTCAAATGTAATTGATTAAAGTGGGCCAGGGAACCTCTCTGTACATGTAACTGTTTAACATTGGTTATAATTGATTCCCCCCCCCCCATATATCCACAAAATTACAGCACCCAAGGGTTAAAATATATAAGCTAAGATGATATTAAGAATATAAGGTTGTTATTAAGAATGCAGTTTGATACAAGTGTCAGGCTAGAGAATTTACTTTTATTGATGTCAAAATAGTGTAATTAAAATGAGAAAAGTTTGTGATTATGAATCTGGAGAAAGGTATAAATGTAGTTAATAGATAATTTTAGTTTACAGAAGATTATTGTAGAATGTTTAAACAAAAGAGAATTTGTCATATTAATTGAGATGCAAAAATTATAGACCGTTGTGATTATGTAATCTTAAAATATATTCATAGCTAGACTTATAGAATAGGATTGTTAAAAATCGTGATTGCAAAATATAGATTTGCAAAAATATTAGATGGCCATATGGTGGGAAAATTGGCATTTAGATATATATGTATGAGGTGATTTAAGAGATACGACGGTATTACTACTCTCGTGTTTGTTTAGAATAATAAAAACTATTTTAAAATTACTTAAATGCCATACCACACTGGTTCTCAGAATGCCCAAATTAAAACTGAAGAATCCCAAATGGCTACACAAACTATGCAACATGGATGACTCAGGCCCGTAGCTACATTGGGGCATTTTGGGGCCTGGCCTCCCGACTTCCTAACAAGGACCCCCAATTCCCATCTAGCCCAGGCCCACTGCCGCTGCCCCTTCCCCAAGCATGGCTTGTGAAGCTTTTCTAGCAGTTGGGGGTAGGTGTCCAACATCGCACCGTCTTGTGAAAGGAAGCCTTTTGTCCCCGCTGCTCTTCCTGCGAGGCTGGGAGGAGGAGCCCTCTAGCCCCAAGGCGACGCTGAATGTTACTTTCCCCTTTCCACAGAACCTGAACCACCGCTGCCCCTACCCTAAGCGCAGCTTGCTTCCCTGCCACTGCCACCCCTTATCGAGTGTCGCCGCTGCAGGAAGCAGCACAAGGCAGCCAAGCAGGTGGGCCAGCAGGCAAGGTGGGGGTGGTGGGCTTTGACAGTGCAGGAACATCTTGCGGGTCCACGGTAGTTGCGCTGTGTGATCTGGGCCAGGGCGTCTCTTCCTTCTCCTCTTCTGGCTCCTCCTGTGTTTGGGTGCCCAGCTGGAGAGCCAGTGAAGGCCAGCTCCATGGCGTCGGCTTCCAGGGCACGCATGTTGGCGTTCCTTGCCCTGTTGCCGCTGGAGCCCCTCACCCTGCCATGGGAGACCTCCATGGATGAGCGGCTGCCTGCTCCAACTGCTCCTGCCTGCTCCAACTGGCAGGCATGAGTTTTTTTAAAAATTATTAATTTTTTGTGTGATGTCAGTGCCCCCTGACTTATTTGAAGCCCCCCCCTCAAATTACATAACCCTGGCTATGGGTCTGGGATGACTCAAAGTGGGGGTGCAAGAGGCCAGGAGCAGGGGTTAGATGCCAGGCTCACCACTACTAGGGCCAGGGGCTTCTCAGTGGCGGCTCCACACTGGTGGAATGAGCTCCCGGAGGAGATAAGGGCCCTGCGGGACCTTATGCAGTTCCACAGGGCCTGCAAGACGGAGCTCTTCCACCAGGCCTTCGACTAGGAGCCGCCCCCACTACTACCAACGAGCCGGCCCATAGTGCTAACATCTGGCTGCTACCACTGTGCTCAGGAAGATCATTGAGTGGCATCTGTCTGGTTGTATGGTATTCCAGCATGCCATTATTAGCAGTAGCACTTTATGAGAGTCTTGTTTTCTGGCTATTGCATTTTAAATTGTTTTTATGTGAACGAATGGTCATTTATAGACCAATTTTGTAAGCCGCCCTGAGCCTGCTTGTGGGGAGGGCACGATATAAATTAAATAAATGCAGAGGTCATTTCGGGGGGGAACGCGGGGGAACGCAGTTCCCCCGGGTGAGGTGCAGGGGGGTGGGGCACATGATGAAGCTCCGCCCCCTGCTTCCGGCTGCCCCGCTTCCAGCCCTCATTCAGCCAGGAGGAGGCAGGAGAAGAGGGAGGGTAAGTTGCTTCCTCCCCGCCTCTCCCCACCCCTGCCTGCCTGGGGCCAGGGAGGGCCTTGGCGGGGCTTCCTCGCACTCCCGCTAGCCTTGCAGGTCCACCGCCGGGCCCCTGATGTCAGGGTGTGTGGCATATGCTAATGAGTTATGCTAATGAGTTCCCCTAGCTCTTTTTCTATGAAATGACCCCTGAATAAATGAATAAATATATAAATCGAGTCAGAAGGGAAAGTGGAGGCTTATTCCTTTCTGTCTACATCAGTTCCCAAACAGAGATCCAGTGGCTCAGCGGCAGATAGGTTGCTTTTATGCAGAAGGTTCTGAGTTCAATCCCTGAATTGCTAGCTAAAATGACCAAGCGGTACATAATTTTATTACTTAATTATTTAGGCATTTGATGCTTTCTTCCCCCAGAATGTCCCAATACAGTTTACAGAAAATTCCAAAATACAATTGCAACAACCAATTAAAATAAATAACTAACAAAACACCAATATATCCTGGGGTGTACTGGTCTGTCAAACTGCCTGATGCAGGCTACAGGCCACAAGTCTCAGGCTAAGAGCCAAGGACCAAGAGACCTTTGGCTCTTGGCCTTTGCACCAATGTAGTTTTGACTTTTTGCTGGTTCTCATTGCAAAATCCCAGTCCCAAATGGTTTAACACTGAACAGCCACTCAGTTTGAGACCATCTCCCCCCCCACACACACACGCTGAGACTACTTGCAAAAATGAAGAGATTTAATTCTGCTCTGAGAATTTGAAGCCACTTGAAATGCAGACCGTTTGGTACATGGGTTAATTCAGAGAGAAATGCCAGCTAAGGGTCAAACTTGATTGGAAACCATATCAGCTGACCTGGAAGCTCTTTCTTGGGCTATCAGAGAAGTGTGGATCAGTTCCGGCCACCCAAGAAGTACAGCTGAGTAAAAATAATCTCCGTAGGGCAGCTTGCGTGACCAAATGTGTGATGCGTTGCAGGTGGCCTTAAAGGAGACACCCTGATTGACATCGGAAGTGGACCCACCATCTACCAGTTCCTCTCGGCCTGCGAGTCCTTCCGAGAGATCATCGCCACCGATTTTACCGACCAGAACCGGGAGGAGATGCAGCGGTGGCTGAGGAAGGAGCCAGGAGCTTTCGACTGGAGCACGATAGCGAAATTTGTCTGCGAGCTGGAAGGGGACAGGTATGGAGGGTGAACTGGCGTCTGGCACCAGTTGAACACCGAATTCCTGTGTGCCCCACCTCATTTGATCATGCTCAGGTCATGATTATCTCCCTTTCTTCATTACTGCCAGGCATCTAACACCCATGGGTGCCTCTCCCAGTGCAAACCAAATAAACCACACAGTGTGACCCCTTGATAGCTACAGTATAAGTTTATGGCAACCTATGTTTGCAGGGGAAATGTGAAAAGTTTACAAATGCTAAAAAAGAGAAACAAAATCCAGAGATTTAATCGCCATTCATTGTGCATACAGAGACATAGAGAAAAAATAGTTCAGATAACAGTTTGAGTCACCAGCAATGAACCCAAAATGGCACCCAAAAACCAATGCCACAAAAAAGATGTATTTATTTGTAATGCTTCTGTCCTGCTTTCCCTGCAAAAAGTAGCACCTCAAGGAGTAACAAAACTTTTGCAAGGGTCGGAGCTTTCGTGAGTCACTTCTTCAGATATCTGAAGGTATCTGAAGAAGTGAGCAGTGAGCAATCTCTTCTTAGTCTTCTTCTTCTTCTTCTTCTTCTTCTTCTTCTTCTTCTTCTTCTTCTTCTTCTTCTTCTCTGCCTGAGCTGATCACCCTACATAGCTGAAGAAGATCAAAGAGCTGTCTGTAAAATGAGGAACTAAACCTGCTATTATGTTTGATTGTTAACGCTGTGTTGCATTAATTGATGCTGTGATTTTATGTGCACTGTTGGAATTTTTATTCTGTTATGTAAGCCGCCCTGAGCCGGCCTTGGCCAGGAGGGTGGGATAAAAATCAGATAAATAAATACATAAATAAACAAACACATAATGAAGACATTAATGATGATGATGATGATAGGAAGAAAGAAATGAGGGGAAATTGGCTCTGACGGGCCACCGCTGGTGAAGAGGAGGTCAGCCAAATCCAGCTGGACCCCCTTGCTTACAGAAGGTGGTTAGGGTTGCCAACCTCCAGGCGGCACCTGGAGAACCCCCACTATTGGAAGTGGTCTCCATATGACCAAGATCAGTTGCCCTGAAGAAAAATGGCTGCTTTGGAGTATAGACTCCATGGCATTGTGCCTGGCTGAGTTTCCTACCCTCCTCAAACTCCAACCCCAAAATCTCCAGGTATTTCCATACCCAGAACTGGCTGCCCTGACTGTGTGATAGATGTGCAGGGGTAAACCAGCCCTTTAACAACAGTGGTGGTTTGTGGTGCAGGCCTTGTCGTCCCATTGCTCTTGCATTCTTCCCCAGGGAAAGGTGGGCCCAGAAGGAGGAGAAGGTGCGCAGCAGCATCAAGCGGGTCCTGAAGTGTGACGTGACCCAGCCCAACCCTGTGGCTCCGCTCTCTCTCCCTCCGGCCGACTGCCTCCTCTCCACCTACTGCTTGGAACTGGCTAGCAAAGACCTGCCGGCCTTCCGCTCGGCCTTGAAGAACATCGGCTCCCTCTTGAAGCCCGGGGGACACCTGGTCTTAGCCACTGCGCTGGAACTCACCTTCTTCCTGATAGGCCAGTGCCGGTTCGGTTGCCTCTACCTGGAGCAAAAGGCTTTAGAGGAGGCCGTGAAAGAGGCTGGCTTTGACATCGTGTGGGTGGAGACCACCAAGATCAGCTTTCCGTTGCCTTTGATCGACGCTACCGGGGCAGGTTTTGTGGTTGCCCGGAAATGCTGAAGTGAAACGAGCAGGGGGTCGGGGTGTGGGGAGAGGCAGGAGTGGAAATTATGGCTGCGATCATATGTACAATGAGACCCGACATAGGTGTGAATGCTGGGCGGATTTAAATGGCGCGATCAGACAACAACATCTGGGAAGCCCCCTGCAGCCATCGGCAGGGCTCTTTTTGGTAGAAAAAGCCTAGCAGGAACTCATTAGCATAATAGGCCACACCCAACAGCAGAAACTCATTAGCATATTAGGTCACACCCCCGACAACACAGCTCATGACCATATCAGGCCACACCCCCATGTTACCAGAAGTCTGGTCATCCAGCCACACCCACCTTTTGCCTCTTATTCTGTTCACCTTGTTTGTTGTCAAAATACAGGGCTTTTTTTTGTAGCAAGAACCCCTTTGCATGTTAGGCCACACACCCTAATGTAGCCAATCCTAATGAGTTTCTGCTGTTGGGTGTGGCCTATTATGCTAATAAGTTCCTGCTGGGTATG